GCGAGCCGCAGGCTCTGCTGTGCTGAGCTCTCTGGAGAGCATCCGTGCAGGACAACATGGCTCCACCGAAAGCGACTGGCTTCAACAACGGGGACGTCGCACGAGCAGCGAGCCCCGAGCAGCAGGGGTTAAGCATCACGTGGAGGCACTGAGCCCATCCACCTGCCCCGGCTGCAGGAACGGCCTCCTTTACCCCGCGCACTTCCAGAGGGCAGGGAACCCCCCAGGCTTCCAGAGGCACCAGCCGATGCACCCTGGGCACACGGGCAGCACCCGGGTAGGGCTAACGTGGGCTCCCACTGACGGACACGTGGGGGGTTCACGAGGAACGCGGCGGCTGATCCCACCAAACGCGCCTGCAAACCGCGCAAAAACAACACGGAGAGACAGGATTTGGCTGCGAGGAGCACGAGCTACAGCTGCAGGGCAGTGCTGCCAGGACTCACCCGCAGCGGCCTCGTATCTTATTAACGGCTGCATGATAAACCATTGAAAAGGAAAAGAAACCCACAGTTTTGCCATGGAAATGCTGGCAGGGGCCGGTGGGTGCTAGTGGGGCACAGGAAAGACCCTCCGCATCCTGACAGCGATCCCGGCCCCGTGCTCCCAAGAGGGAGGAGGAGGGAGGTGTTCCTCATGCTGGGCTTAGGAACAAGCTGCTCTTTTCATTACTGTGGGATTGCCACCTGCAAACCCTTTAGTACAGGAGGAGAAGGAAAGGGGAGGAAAGAGAGGTGGAAGGTGCGGAGAGGACCCGCAGTGCCGCGAGTGGAGCAGAGGGGCAGCAAGAGCTGCTGCCGCCCGTCTCCCCCTTCCTGCTCCCTGGGAAAGGGTGTCCCGAGCACCTCGCTGGGGATTTCGGGGCTGCCCGCGGGTCCCACTTACGTTCTGGTCCATGGTCTCGGGGATGAACTCGCCCTCGCTGTTGATGCTGGTGTAGGATCCCTGGCGGGCGATCTGCTGCTGCTCCTCGGGGACGCTGCCCGGCGGCGGGGAGCTGCGCCCGGTGTGCAGGGAGCCTAGGGCAAAGGCAGAGCTTGGGAATCGCCTCCGGCTCCTCCCGGGGAGCCTCAGCCTGCGGGAGATGCCGCTGGGCTTTGGGAAGGGAGCAGAGGAACTGGAGATGCGATGCGAGAGGGAGACCCATGGGTCCATCACGCTCATCTGAGTACACCCCACATCCACGCGGACCGATTCCCTGAGCCTTTTTTAGGATTCAGGGAGCGCTGCCCTCGCTTGGCCCGGCCGCATGGGCTTGGCTCCCCTCGTCCCTCCGCTCCATCCCTGAGCTCCATCACTCCATGGCAAGGAATTGCTGACCACGGTCCGCGCCGCTCCATGCTGGAGCGCTAACGGGGCAGCATTGTGCAACACGAGCGACACAACAACTTGTTTTGCCTTAAGAAAACCTCTACAAGGCACTGTCTTTAATGAGCTGAAAAGCACATGGCGACTTACCGCGACGTGCCCTGGGCTGACTGCAATATTCCTAGAGAAACGGGCTGCAAAAGGGCCTGCCCCATCATGAAAAGCCATCGCCGACCCAACAAGCAAACGCTTGGGCTGCTGTTCCGCATCGCGCCGGGTTCTGGCCTAACTCCATGAGCCCCACGAGCCTGTGGGTCGCCACCTTCCAGCCGACCCGCTGGGGAGCTGCTACCATTAACACTGCGTTAAAAATAAGAATCATACGGCCTTGGGTTGCCTTTTTTTTTCTTCTTCCTATTTGCTCCCTCACAGATTTCCTGCAGGATAAGACGGCAGCGAAAAGAGTCTAACTGAAGTAATGCCAAGCTCAAGGAAAGACTCTCCCAAGTGCTGCAGTGCTCAGTGAACTGGCTTCCCACCAGCCCCAGAAACAAAACCATTTGGGAAGTACAGCATCCTCTCTTGGAATATAAACACACACATGTAACCATTTAACAATTTGAGCACCCTGAATAAACCACTGCATTATTGTTCCCTCGTTGCTTAGCAGATGCCAGTGCAGAGCTGTGCACAGAGACGGCTGGAGCCCGGAGCACCACAAAGGGAGCTGGGTGGATGGACACGGTGCAACTGTGGCAGCTTGGAGCTTCTGAGCATCTTATTGCTGCTCCAAGCCATGGGTCTGCTTGTGCAGGGCTGGCTTCCCTTGCTGCCATAACGCAAAATCTTCCCAGGAAGTCTTAGGTGGATAAACCCCTAGGGGAGCCGTGCTGAGGAGCTCACCAAATTCCCAGGCCATTTCACGGCCCCAGACGGGAGTAAATGTCCTAGATGATCCGCAGGTCCTGGCTGGCAAGCCAAGCTCCTGGCCGGAGCTCCGCATCCCCGAACTCGGAGCAGCTCTGCAGCCGGGCGCCCGCCGCGCATCTGACCTCGGCTGCCCTTCGGAGCCGGCTTCTTCGGGAAGGGATTCCCGCTCCCGTGTAAAGCCGCCTCCTGGAGAGCACAGCACGTCCCGGGCCCGCGCGGAGCCTCGCGCTCGCTGCTGGCATCTGCCGGGGTCTGTCGTGTTCCCATCTGTTATTTTTATTGCGGCGGCGCCTTCCATGCAGGATGTGCCGCGCGCGCGGCGCTGCGTGTACAGCCAGCTCCCCGGTGCCAGCCCCGGCCTCCCTCCACCTCCGCCTTCCCAATCCCACAAGGATTATCCAAAACCTTCTCCCACAGCTGCTGGGACACCAAGGAGGGCGCTGAGAAGCCCCCTGCTCCAGCAAAGCCCAGGCAGGGGTGTCCCCACAGGGCTCCGTCCCTTGGGGGCACCACGTTGCCCTCTGGGCACGGCAGAGCCTGGGGATCAGATGCAAACGCCTCAGCGTGCAGTACATAATTAACCAAACAAACAAGAAAATAAGAAATAAGTAAATAAATGAAATCTTTGGCTTTGAAATGCTGACGCTGGAATGGGGTTCCTGGCTATGCTGGGGGTGATGTTGCAAAACAGGGGTTTCTTCAAAGCAATTTAAAAAAAAAAGCCGCTGTCTCAGAAAATGCAGAACCCCAATAGGTTTGAGCACAAGTTTTCTGGCACTCAGCTGAATGTTTTCAGATCCTGGTCACCAGCAGCCTGGAACATTTTCCACTTCCAAAAAAAAAAATGCAGAGGGAGGGGAGATTTCCACTGAGAATGTTTATGAAAATAAATATAAATATATATATATTTTGACTTTGCCTAAGGTTTTTCAAGGACAAGGAGTGAAGAAGTTTTCTGTCCAGCAGACGTAAAAATAGCCAGTTCTTCCCCAGAACATCTACCCTATTCCAATCTGCTCGTGCCAGTAATATACAGCTTTATTATTTTTTGCTCCCACTAACATGGCAAAGTCAGCAGAAAAACACAAGACATGTCAGAACCCCTGAGAACGTGACCCCGAGCCACCTTTTTCATCAAGTCACTTTAAACCTCCTTGTAAATGTGGTAAGAGGAAAGCTGAACTGAGATGCTCACTTGACAGCGATCGCTTTGGCAACAGCACGAGCAAACGCTGAAATATTTTGCATCTGCAAGCAAAAAAGAGTTTCTTCTACCGCAGTCCCAGCCTCTGAGTTGCCTTTTGCCTGTTCACCAAGTTTAGCAAAATCCCTCACTGCAGAATCACAGCACAGATCATCTCTGTCTATTTAACCCCTGGTTTTAAGCCCCGTCGGAAGCGATGTCCTCCCTTGCACCTCTCCAGAACATCCTCACAGCTACCCGGTTACCCAGTCCTGACTCATAAGGGTAAAAAGAAAATAAATAAACCTGCCGGATTGCAAGGGCCTATGCAAGGCTGCAGCCCCTTCATGCAGACATCAGCTAACGCCAAACATGCCTGGCGTGCTGTCAACGTGCAGGGGGTTGTTCCTACCTCTGCAGCTGATTTAGAGCAAGCATTGACACCAGTAAGAAAGGCTCCTTTGCCAGAGCCTGTTTTCACCCCAACATAGCTACACATGGGATCATTCTGCCCATGACACTGGGTTCACCCACCAGTGACAGCTCCACCGCTCTCTACTTGCTGCATGGAGAAGAGGCTGGAAGTGCTCACTGCTGTATGTGCATGAGCATCCCCGCAGGATCAAGCATTTCTTTCTGTTGACTTGTATAGGAGGGCCCTGCTTCATTCAAGGTTCCGACACTGGCATTTCTACACTTCTCAGATGAAGGGAAGAAAGCAATAGGGCTCTGTAGAAATCACCCCGTGACCTGCTCCCACAGACGTAGCAGAGAACATGCAGTGCAAGACAAAGCCATGAAGCCGGCCTAGAGGGTGTCACATGAGGTATGTACCCTGCTACGCGGCCCTAAGGACTGCTGCACCGGCTCTGTACGCAGCACCCTCTTCACAAGGATCCAACAAGGTTCTTCATATAAGGGTCTTACAAACACCGGTCATCACCCTCTTCACAAGGATCCAACAAGGTGGACCCCCCCCATAAGGGTCCTACAAACACCGGTCAACAAGAGTACCCATCATTTCAAATATTTTATATTTTATACATACCAAAAAAAGCAAAAAAAGAACCCCAAACCTCACAAACGGAAGCGCAGAAAACCAAAGGAAAGCCACATGCAAGGCTAACAAATGCCAGTTCCCGCAGGACATTTGCCAACCTGGCTTTGGAGAGGGCAGGTGTCTCCTCCTAGCACTTCTAAAGCGCAGGGATGGTCCCCTGCATTTGAAAGGTGACCACCACAAAACACGTGGAGAGTAAGGACTGCAGAAGGGTACAGGAATAGGGACATCAATGGCCATCAGGGTGGCAGAGCAGACTGTGACAGCCACAGGGCTGGCGAGGAGGGAGCGGGAGGGCAGCAGAGAGGAGGCTCACCAACCTGTGGAGTATTTCCGCGTCCTCTCGGAGTCTTTGTACAGGGATCCCATGATGTCGCCCATGGACCTGGAGATCCTCATTTCGTGCTGTTTGCTGTTGTTGGGCTGCAGGAGCTGGGAATCGGACAAGGGGAATAATCAGAGTCTGCCAGGGGCCAGGGCCCTTCCAGACATGCCAGGGAAAAGCCTATATTTGGCTCCCCAGTCCCACCATTCTCCCCCAAAACCAACCAAAAGACACGTAAGTGGAATCTAGTGTATTCTTAAACAATTCATAAACAGTTCACCTCCATTATTAAAATACCCTAGTAACAAAAAAAGTCCCAGCTGACAGTGATAAAATGACAAAAAAAAAAAAGATTTATAAAAGACTTCCTGAGTAGAGCTGCATTGCATTATTTCTAAGCAGGAAAGAGGGACTGATCCCTGCTCTGATCCAGGTTTGCTATCACAAAACCAGAGCCTCTCCTCCGCACTCCCTAATCTTCAGCAGCAGCTGAAGACTATTTATATTGTATTTATCATCCTATTTATATTGTATTTGTCATCCTATTTATATTGTATTTGTTGTCCTTTTTATATTGTATTTGTTGTCCTTTTTATATTGCATTTAAAATCCTAAGCTTGTACATGTTCTTCTGCAACACAGTACATGCAGGATCAGGAAGATGGGAGAGGGGGAGAGCAAAGGAGAATCATGTGTGCAGCTGGTAACTTCACTGGCAGCAGCTACATCTTACTGAGATAACATGCTACCACGCACCACGGTTTTGTGATCATTTTAGAATTATCACAAATTATCGATTGTCCCATTTCTGCTCAGGACTTCTGAACCCCCAAGTGACTGTTCAGTTTTCCTTGGGGTCTCCTGGCCCTGCACTTCTGAAAGGCTCCCAAAGAGAGCAGGGACATTGCAGGAGCTAGGAGCATCAGTAGCAGCATAAGGACATGATGTTTGAGACTTGCAGTCTCCCTCTCCATACTTCTAGGAAATGAAAGGAAGAAAATGTTGCAACATCTGCAAATCCCTTGCTTTATGGCTTGTGCTTGGGGCAGCACGACATGTGCTTTGGCAAGATGCTCCGTGCACGCGAGGTCAAGCTAACAGGCTTGACTGTAAAGCCACGGAGCTCAGGAAAAAAAAAAAAGAAAAGAAAAAGAGATTTTAAAAAATAAATTAGTTATGCAAGAGGTTGAAGGATTCACTAGTTTGCTCTCCCTGGCTTTTAGGGCTTCAGCATCAAGACATCGGCCCCCACGCTGCTGCCTCGTGCAGCAAGGACCAGCACACGCATCCTTCACCTTGTTCCAGCACCCGAGGAGTATTTAACCCCTCCTGGGTTGCAGGGGGAGCTGAGCAGCTGCTCCCACTCGGGGCTGCAGAGCACACGACCGTCACGTGCCACCCGATCGAGAGCAGAGAAGGTGCCGACTCACGTTGGCTTTCTTTGGAGCGCTCACAAGGATCCGCAGGCTCTTCAGGGAAGGGCTGAGCTCCAAGAGCTCCATCGCTTTGTCCAAATCTTCCTGGGATTTCAGCGGGATCAGGAGCTGGAAGGGATTGAACAAACCAGCATGGGGGAGTGTCGCACATTTGGGTAAGCAGAGGAAGCCAGACTGTCACAGCAAGCAGCGTGGGGACTGGGGGACACGGAAGGGACTGAGAATGGGCATAGAAAGCAGAGCTCCCACACTGCCCATCGTGTGGAGATGTCATGTTGTCTTCCAAGCCCTTGTCCACCAAGGGACAGACCCAAAACCAGAACAAAACATGCTTGCAAGGAGAGCACTCAAAGGTCACATCACCAGGTCAGGGTGAAGGATAGGGCTGAGATCAATCCTCACACTGGTTACCCACTATTCCAGCCACACAACAGCGCTCCAAGAAAGCGGTGAGCTGCGCCCAAGCACTGACCCCGGGAGACCCTCGGTGGCCTCCCTACTGCTGCAACCTGTGCTCGTGTGCACTGACACGGTTTCCCTAGCGCTGGAGCACCGCGTGAGATCGGGGAACATCTCACAAGTAGGATCTTAGCTCTTTGGTGTGGGAAGTGTGTGTTGCCCTTCCTCCAGGAACCACATCCTTGACTTGCGGCAGGACAAACTGACCTTTCTGCTCTTTCTATGTTGAATAGACTGAGAACCAGACAGTGCCCTGTCTGTAGGGCACCTGAAGGTCCTGGTGTTTTCTCTGTAAGGGGTAAACTCTTGCCCTCACGTCTCCAGAGGGAATTTCCCCGCCTGGCATCGCTGTGTGGTGTACCGCGTCATGCAGTTGGGCCTCAAAACTTCCAATGTTTGACACAGCTGCGCTTAAGAGAGGCCCTGTGGCATTCTGCTGCCCTGGGCTATGACCAAAAACACAAGTATTTGCCCCGTCACCTGGCACACGCTGCCTAACATCACCCAAACAGGCCTCAGCCTCTGTAGGTCGCCTGGGCACTGGCAGTGAGTCCAGTCAATGTTCTCCATGGTGCCAAAGTGCACAGCTCTCCCACCCACCAAAGGGACCAAGTGGCCACAGCTCCCAGTAAGTTCCCAGTGACTTTGCTGGGAGCCACAGCCGTGGCCCAGCTCTCCAGACGACCAGAGGTCAGGCCCGTAGCCACTGCAAAAAGCTTCAGTGCCCAGAGACAACAGTCAAAAGTCGCCTGTGTCTCCCCTTTGGATCAGGGGTGTTACCAAAGGTTTGGCTGTTGGCCCCTGGGTAAATACACCACAGACCTGCATCCAGGTCAGGGCTGCAGGAGTGACCAGGTCAAGGGAAGACTGTGGGCCCTGGCCAGGAGAGATGAGGTTTCATCTGGGGAAAGTGCTACCTTATCCATCCAAGGACCACAGTCTAGTCCTGCCAGGCTCTATTTTAGGTGTCTGTATGGCTGCTCTTCCTGCTCTATCTGAACCCCTCAGGGTTTAAATCAAGTTTCTCCTCTCCTGTGTGATAAGAAGGCCATCATCCGCCCCCACTTTGCAGGCAGGGAACTGAGGCCATAGGCAGGCCACTGTTTTCAGATGTTTAGCATCAGGTGGAGCATTATCCTTCCCACCAAGAGGGCCTACCTCCAGCAGCAAAGAGATCCTCCAAAGGTATAGAGACATTCCTATGAAAAGCCAGAAGAAGAGACAGCAGAGAAAAGCATTTAGTATTTTCACCCAGGAGGGAAGGAAAATCAGGTTGTGTAGCCTTTGTTCAAAGGCTCCTTAGATATTTAAGTGTGGAAAAAGACTTCAAGAGGCTTTTCAGAAGGCCTCACCTCAAAATGTCCTACAGCCTGTCAAGGGGGTCAAGCCCTCAGCCAAATTAGATGAGAAAGAGAAAGACATTTTTGGAAAGATGTGAGGAGAAAGTACCCACCCAGTAGCTTCAGGGCTTTCAGGGCTTTAGGGAGGGCCATAGACTTAGGCCATGAATAAACTTTGGGATCTGAATGAATCACTCACAGCCACGGCAGCTATCAGGCAAAGCTGGCATTGAAGGCATGACTCTGTCCACAGAGAGCCCTTTCCTTAAGCAGTAGAGACTAAGAGATACTCTCTCAGTACATTGCCTAACCCTCTTGAAGATCAAAAGGGCAATGCAGGTGTATGAAGCAGGCAAAGTCTTCCTTCTTCTGCTCAGCCATAACCAAAACAAGAACGGTGAAATGCTGCTTTCCCTTGCTTCACTCACAAGCAGAATTTGACTCTGAACCATTAGTCCCACTTCTCATCCATCCCTTTACGGTGTTCCTCACAAGTGTTCAGAACAGCAGGCCCTCGGCCTCTGTTTTGAACAAAATGTTCTGCAGGTCACTCCTCCTCACTCCAACATCACAATATTAACACGTTTGCATGCCTGCTTCAGAGGAGCCAAAAACATCAGGCAGAAATTGTCCTCTCCTAAAAGGGACTGCAGCCAGTATTTAGCTTGGCTTTACTTATTACCCACATCTGTCAAGTGGATTTTGCTCCCCTTGGCTTCCACGCTGTGGTACACATGTGGGCATCAAGCACAGTTATCTACTAAACATCGAACTCAACACAGATCCATGCTGAAGCACAGAAGCAATCACCAGGGAGCATTTCCAATAACTGGGTTCATTCTGCATACAGCAAGTAACCATTACAAACAGCAAAGTTCATCTATACAGAAAATTCACCAAATGTAGCTTATTAGATTTTCTTTCTTGCTTTTAAATAGCGCACTCTACTAGGGACTAATGTTGTCATATGGGACTTGGCAGCCAATCCATTGCAATCTCACAAGTCGAAGAAAAGTGAGCGCAAAGAACGAGTTTTCACTGACTAGAACACTACTGCTAAATCTCACTGTTTAAGACACACTAGAAAGCCAAAGAATAGTAAGAAACAGGGCAGGGGAAAGTCTTAGAAGTCATTCATCCTCCCGCCTAGTGAAGGACCAAGTGGCATCAACAGTTCTTAACAAAGGTTTGTTTAATCTGCCTCCCAGAAATGGCAGTTCCACCATTTCCCTAGGCTTTAATATTCCTTAACCTTCCCAAATGATGACAAGAGACAGCTCTTGCCTCAGAGGAGATGAGCAAAGGGAGGTCAGAAGAGAACTAGTGGCACATCAAGGTCCAGGGTTCTGCCCAGGGTCACATCACAAGCTGGCAGTGAAGATGGGACAAGTGACGAGGTGACACACAACCACACTTGGTGCCACGGGGCAGGTTAGCTGTGCAAACAGATAAAATTCAGACAGAGCATTTGCCATAGCAGCTAGCGTCGAAGCCACAGCACTGCCATAACAAGCCTCCACATCAAGGAGCAAGGTTTTGCGCTCCTGCTCATCAGAAAGACGAGCCCAGCCCAGCAGTAACATGTAGACATGCCTATACACCGTGCTGTATGCCCATGGTCGGGCCCCTGCTCTTATCTATACCAGCCCAAACCCGTTCCTTCCATGGTCCACCAGGATGTGATTCATGCTCCACCCAGCCAGCATGCTCATCTCGTTGTACTCTGCTTCGGGAGTCCTGCTTCCCTGGGATGGGGACTGCCATTTGGTATGGGTTTGGCAAGGGCAGTTGGTCTTAGTGTAATTTTGGTCTTCAAGGTGCTACAGGAACATCTAATAGCAGCAAGCAAAGAATTACGGCACAGCCTCCTTTGGGTATAAGAAAGGGTGAAACATCTTCTTGTAACAAGTCTGTGGTCAAGCAGCCTCAGAGACTTGCTGTCACCAGACTAAAAAACCTGTCTCGCAACGTACTAGGAGCCAAACCCCAGGTTGTCACTACGTGGACACATAGGTTGCCTTCCTGAAGGTCAGGCTGGTGTTTATAGTGGTGTTTATAGTCATCCAAAGTAACAACTCGAAATTGCCACTGCTCATACCTTTTCTCATAGGTGCAGGTTCTCACAAGGAGGAATTTTTACGCACAAAAAGACAAAATATTGAATCCCTATGACAATGAGGAGTACCCAAAGGCCTGCTTGTGGTCTTGCTATATGTTGTACACATGCCCAGGAAGACAGTCTCTAGCACAGGATAAACTACATTATCTAGGCTTCTATTTGCTGCTGTTGGAAAAAATACCTCTTCCAGTGGAAAGAAACCTGGAATGAAGTGAGTCATTCCTAGAGAATTCAATGTCCAGCTTTTCCCGGGAGGGCTGCTGGAGAATGCCCAAGATTAGAAAACTGACCACATTCAAAGCTACAGACCAGTGGACAGCTTGCTATCAGGAGGTAACTATTATAGGAAAATAGCAACCTTTTCGTGGTCAAACTTCCACCAACAGGGAAGATAAAGAAAAGAGAAAGCTTTCTTCACATCCTCGTTCCCCACTCGTACTTTAATGAAAGGTCCCTAATCATTTGCAATTAACATTCTAATAAGTAAGTTGTCCGTGAAGTTGCATTAGAATTAGTGTTTCCAAGCCCACCTATTCGTCATCTGCCCAGCGTGAACCCAACTGGAGAGTCCAGTGGCTCCAGCTCCGTGTAAAGCTCAGGCCAAGATACCTCACAAGAAACCATTAAACACTCAAAAAGCAGATACCAAGGACCTGCTCTTTCTAGGCAATGCCCTTCATCAGCAGCTTCCATAACGCTTCTTTCAGACACAGTGCTGGGCTCCAAGAACAAGTCATCAAAACACAATCACCTGTGTTATGAGGAAAGTCAGGCTAGAAGGCTCCTCAGCCCTTGAAGGACAAGGAGGATGGAGCAAGGGTTTCTTGGGCACTTTGTGTGGCATATCAAGAGTTTAAGGACAAAACACAGTCCTCTTCGGAAGTGCAGCCACACAGACTCTCCCTTATCAACAAGGAGCACAGTACCTCGTTATTCACGCACACCAGGTCCATCGTCTGTCCAAAAGCATCTGTGACTTTCTGCACCACATCTTTGAACTTGACTGGTCTTGGAAACTGGATAATCCTGCATATGCAAACAAATGCAACAGTAATCCCAAATTAGTGAAACTAAACTGGAATTTCAGATTAGACTGACACCTTAGCTAGGAAAAGACCTACATCCTTCTGTCATCAAGTGCAAACCTCACACCTTGTTCTTATGCTCATACAAATGTCATTTGTCTGTGTGTCCAAGAGGAGACTTGGCACACCCTCCAAGAATATCTACCTAAATTCTTAATATATACACTCTGCTGCTTAATATATATTCCCCCTGCTGTGAGATATGGACTGGTAAGGAGGTAGGTTACATTACTGCCCTGGAGAAGCCCCAGGCTGATGCACTCCTCAGTGACTTATCATCTGTTTCAGCAAGTGGCTCTGCAGAGGGAGGAGGGATGGCAGAGGTGATGCTGCAGTTTGATGTCCTATGACCCTCACATGCATCAGTTCTACACAGACGTATCAGCAGATACGGTCTAGTGCTACTTCCTTAGATTTTCTTTGGCTTTAACATTCACCTTGGAACATCAGCCTGCAAGTTTCCAGCCCTGTGTCCTGCCCTGCCACAGTCACTTGGTATCATACAGAGGTGATCCCATGAAAATGTCAAGCAGGGAAGGGCGGGCAAGCTTTAACTCCCAGCTCTATTTTCATGGGCCCCGTGCCCAAAATCTGGTTATCTTAAGTGTCATAGGCTACTAATCAAAGGACATATTTCTGTAGATTTGTAGCTGGGCTGTGGCTCAGCAGGGCTCAAGAATTAGAAGGTGAGAAGGATCCAACCGTGTACCCTCTGTGCCTGGTAAAAAGCACTTAATGATTTCCAGCTCGGAACCACGCTGCCTGCGTGCAAATCCCAGAAGGTATTTGTGGCAGGAGGGATGACTAGGCAAGTCATATAAAATTGCAGTTGATTTCAGGGGGATGAATCCTGCTGTGAGCTCATCTGCAGCTGGCTGAGCCCGCAGGACTTGGCTGGGCTAAAAAAAGGGTAATTTGCGCCTGCACCTGGAAGGGGACCGGGCTGGATACGTACCTTTTCTCTCCCTCATATTCAAACTTGATCCTGATGTTTCGCTGCTGAAAGAAAGAGGAGAAAACAGTTAGTTCCCAAAGGGCATCCCAGATGGAGTCGCAGATCCAAAGCTCCCAGCAACACACTGGAAAACTCCCCTAGCTGCAGTCTGTTTAGGGCCTTTGAACTCACGGACGTCAGGGAAGCTCCACGCTGCTGATAAAAGAACTTGCCAAAAAAAAAGAAAAAAAGAAACACTCTTGTGGAAATGAGGGGACACTCCCTCATCTGTAACTGCGAGTTTTAATACACTGAATTAATACCATTTAATATTTAACATTATATGTAATTAGTATACATAATTAATGCAATGCCCAAGACTACAGGAGCATTTTCACTCACGCGGCTCCTCAGCCCCACTGTTTTAGCCAAGTGCCCTCTTGGCTCTTGTGCCAAGAGCTCCCAGGGGTCTCGAGGCTGCTCAAAACCCTCCTGATTTCCCAGGCCGGCTCCGGTGGCTCCAGTTAACGGGGTCTCTGTCCCGCTGGTGCCCGCGAGTCCCCTCCGTAGGTGCCTTTCTCCCTGCGCAGGACTCGGGCTCGTGCCGCCGGCGTCTCCGAGGGACGGTCCCCGGCCGGGTGGGTGACAGCCCTTCCGCAGCCCTTATCTCCCGGCCGGGATTCCAGGGTGAAGACACACTTTCCACCCGAGCCGCGGCACCACCGCTTGGCCCCAGCGAGGAAAAGGAGCTGGCCGGGAGCCCACGGGGTTATTTTTAATCCGACGGCTCCCTGGGTGCTGTAAAAACCTGCCGGCGTTGAGGAAGCTGGGGCTGCAAGGGGCCGGGTAGACAAAAAGCCTAAAACCCCTGGGGGTAACACGCTGCATCACCCAAAACTCAGCGTTTTCGGCTCTTCTCCCCCTGACACACACTGGGTTTGGGGCAGGATGGGATGAACTAGAGCCGGGCGCCGCATCCGCCACCAGATCTCCTGACCCACAAAACCTGGGTGAGCTCCAGCCTCACTTCTAGAATGAGGCCTGACCCATAAAAATGCCCAACTAGCTCTCCAACAGCCCAAAATTCAAAAGAAGAGGCGACCAAACCCAAAGGCCCAGAAGGTTTTGGAGGGCCAGGCAAATCCGGGTGTTATTGCTCCCTCCAGTTATCTGCTGGAGAGAAAAAGACAGGCCTTCTAATGCCAGTTTTTATTTGCAACATCCACCTGCAAACAGGGTCAGGACTTGCTGCACGTACTCCATTGTGTCCCTCTCCAAGAGGAGAGAAAACCAGGGCAAGAAGCTTTCGAGGTTTCTCCTTCCAAAGGAGCAGGACACGTAAAGGGAAAAGCTCCTGCTGCTCTGGCCTCGCTGCCGGAAACCTTTCAAATGAGTAAGTTCAAGATGATAAAGTTTCAGCAAGCAGCCAGCGGCTGGGAAAGGCTGGAACACTTGTATAAAACTCCACAGAGAGAAGAAAAGGGGAGGGAAAAGGAGAGAAATAGGAAGAGACCACATCCCTGCTGCATCCTTTTCTTCTGCGGCTTGTAGAAAACCCACTAAATGCTCCTTTCTGTCAAAGAAACCAAGCTCTTAAATGTGTAAGCATTTGAAAAAAAAAAGGAGGAAAAATGACATACATATAGATCAATACGCAAAAACGTGTATTATGGGGAGCTGGTTACAATTTTATTTGCAATCTTCCCTTGCCTTCCTCAAGTTTTCATCTCACAGATACAGCCAAAGCAGTGAGACAGGGGACCTGCGCCCTGGTTTCGATTAAGAGAGATGTTGGGCAATGGAAAAAAAAAGAGAGAAAAAAAGGCACTTCCAAGTGAGGTGATTCACACTCTTCTGCACAGATTCCCCCAAGAGCCAACTGCTGTTTGCAATAAAAACGCACGTGGAGCACAGCAAAGCCCGCGGCGTCCCTGTGCCTCCTTCCACCCAAAGCCAAAGGGGCTCTTCCCTGCTCTCCCAAAGCCACGGCCCTCGGGTGGCCGCTCTGCCTCAGTTTCCCCACTGGATAGAGCAGGGGCAAGGAGCGGGACGCGCTGCTGGAGGAGCAGATGAACGGGGATTCGCGCCGCTGCTCTTCGGGACGGGCCGTCCCTTCCGAGGCAGACGCTGGCCCGCGTCCCCGAACCGCAGCAGGAGATGAGTAACGAGGAGGGATCGCGCCGGAACCCCCCACGCGCCACGGCCCTCGGGCAACGCGGCCCCGCGCGCCGCTCCTCCGGGATCGCCCCCTTCTCCCGGAGCCATCGGCAGCTCCGAGGTCTCCAGGCACCCAGGGTCCTCACAGCCCTTTTCCTCCCCAAAACAGAGCCCAGGACACAGAGGCCAGTGGAAAAAAATGATGCCCAGGGCATTCACTGCTCCCTGATGGTTTTGTTTTACGGAGCAGCACAAAATGTTGATCCTCCCTGGCAAGGCAGAGCTTTCTCCCAGGTGGAGTTTCTCCCCAAGTGTTATAACTTTAGCACTCAAATCATCATCTTACTCAAATTCCTGAGCTTCCCTTGCCTCTGTGAGCTCCAGTGCTGCTCTAGGTCCCTTGCCTCTCCCCCACGGGGACAATCCTGTTTGGAGATGCACCGATGAAGAGCCCTAAAACACAAGCCCTGTTTCATTCTAGCGGTCAGTGTGCCTTGTCCTGTATCCAGCTCGCAGGGAAAAGACAAGTCGAGAGCTAATTTACTGCAAGAACAACTTCTGGGTCAGTCTGACATGTGTTGTCCTGTGCCTGCAAAAACGTTCCTCCCCAAAGCTGGGCTTTACAGCCAGGGGAGGGCTTGTGATCCAAACTAGCCGAGGAAACGGGAGCTGCCATCGACAGCAATAGGGGCCCCGCTGACCCTCATCACCGCCACGAGGCACCACACGGGCCACCGGCTTCGTGCTGCTGGTTGCCAAGTGTTATTCACGTAAAATAAATGCATGCACATGTAAATCACCAGGCATAAAATAGATGTGCAAAATCACTGCTTCCCTCTCCTCCGTGCTTTTGCTTGTGCTTTCCAGTTCCTTGTGGTCTCGCTTCCTATCCTGCTCATTCGTTTCCGAAGCGAGTGCAATGCACATCACACACATCTTTCTTGTGCCATCTCCTCCTCCCTCTCTCTCCCACCACGTAAGAGCAGAGCGACTGCTGTACCCAACTCCTTGGTGCCCCCAGGAGCATCCCAAAGGAATCCTTCCAACGATGTCAGAGGATGCAAAGGGAACAACGTCAGGGCAATCCCTCTGTTCCTGGAGAATGACATGTCCCTTTTGAAGATGACCATGGAATCACAGAATCATCATGGTTGGAAAAGACCTTCAGGATCACTGGGTCCAACCAGAAGCCCTTCACCACCAGGCCACGATGGCTCAGACGTGGCAGGATGACGGTGCCCAACTCATCTGACCAGGGCTGGGGAGACTCAGGCTCAGCTACCACATCTGCTGCCTATCTATGGGACAATCCAAGAGAAGAAACTGTCCTCACCACACACTATCCTCATTCCTGGCTTATTCTGGCTATCATGCAGCACTGGATATGCAGGAA